TCTCTAGCTTATTAAATATCTCAATGCAAATCACGTTGGGAAATGCATTTACGCATATTACATGTACAACAAATGATTATGATTTTATGGAGATTTTTACCGCCACTAATACCCAACAGAATCATTTACTCAGACGGCTACCTGACTGAGGTAGACCACAACAACTAGGGAGTTGCTCTATCTGTCCACTTTGCTATCAGACAAGTATTAGGAGCAATCCACATGGTATTCCTCCCGAGGTTCACCGAGTTGGGCTACCTCACCAGTACGTTCCTTCGTTTCCACCAGGCTGGACTGCCGGACGCTGTGCTCTTCTTGCACAACGATGCAAACTCATATTCGATTGCTCTCTTCTTATGTCAATTATCGGAATTTCAACTAACATATTTTTGCAATTATAATATAAGTTAAGTTAGTCCACTAGCTAAGACAGACTGTCTTACTTAGACCAAATACCTTGACTACAGTTACCGTACTCATAAGCCATAAGACAATATTCTAATATATTCTATTATTAATAATCATCATAAACATTTAAGTACAATCCCTTGATCCACAACCGCAAAAAAACCACAAGCTTTCGCTCTTACTGCAATGTAATGTTTAAAAAATTGTACCCCATTGTGAAAAGTTACACTGCCCGGTGAAGAAATCAAAAGTGGATTTAGCATTAGCATTTTAAGACTTTCTCATATTTATTATGCATTTTTAATGCACATTATTAAAAGGATTTGTGCCTTTGGTCGTGAATATTTTGTTGATGATCAATTCATCAATGTGGTTCACCTACAATTACTAACCGTGACTCGCGTATTAGCCAAAAATATATAAAAATCCTCTCCTTTCTTTTAAATATTAAATAAGTACCTACATCTCATTGTATAATATTTACACAGCAGGACTTAAACGCGTGAATTCGTAAGTGGCTATATACTTTATTCCCGACGTTTCGACTGGGTTGTAACAGCCGTGGTCATGAGCAGATGTTTGTGCGTTGAAGTCCGGTGTGTAATTATTATATAATTATGGAACGCGATAATTTAAAATTTATACATATCATTGGTTTAGAAAGGCCACAGTTGATGCAAAAGCTTACTTGAGTTTTAGTAATTTTAGAAAATACGATCGAGGTTGAAAATGAGGAGGAGGAGGATTCAATTCTCTCAAAGTAGATACCATTCAAAAATCCCCAGGGGAGAATAATTCCTTATAAGTGATTTTATATTTAAAGTACCCTTTTTGTGTTAAAAATATTTTTTTACCCATCAATATAATATAAAACTAGATTCAGTACTGCATAGCAAAAATTGTACTATTTCCAATATCATAACTTTTATATTATCATCTTGAAGCGTAAATAACGTTACTCTAATAGTGTGTGAGTAAAATACAACAATGTTCATCCAGTTAATATTAATTGGTCGCGAACAGATCAATCAACGTCGTTTTTATTTCCGCTAATATGCACCATTTTCACCCATTAAGTTCTTTTAAGAAAAACGTGGGATCTCAAAATGACTTCGAAAGGTTGTTTCGTTTTATATGTAAAATTATTTATATTTCTTCGTAATACTTTCTTAGATTTACGCGAATATTTGACATTTTAATTAAAATCAACTATCTTCTCGGTTTTTATTTAAGCATTCGAAAGGTCTAGGACCAAAATTCAAAATAAATCCGCGAAAAAATCCGGAAAGATTTTATTTAAAATATAATTTTTATTACTGCTGTTTCATATTATTTTTTTAAAGCACGTTTTCATTGAAAATCGACTATACCCTATAAAAAACTCCAGCATTTAATGCATCGATTACAAAGAATGCCATCTTTGAATCTTGTATCAAATTGTTATTTAATAGTTACTTCGTAATAGTATTTAAGTTATTAATATTACCAATAATTCACACTGAACACTGCCAGACAAATAGCTAGGTATAAAATAAAAAAAATGTATTTATGTTTTTTTTTGCCAATTTAAAGATATATACATATGTATATGTAGATGTGCAATACAATTATAGAGTACTAGCAGAACCCGCGGCTTCGCTTGCGTTAAAACCATAAAAATAAAACTTTAAAAATGTAGGTTTTATACAAACTGTCATCCTCTAATTTACCTTCTTATGGCATGAATTTCGAAAAATGCTTAAATACGTATGTATTTAATTGTATTGAAGAACATTAATACCAAGTTTCAAGTAATTACTAATTACATAATTATGATCATAAATATTTTTTTAGGTTGTATTATAACGTGCTTACCCGTGGGAATGTAATATCTCCCGCGGTAAAAAGTAGCCTATATGTCACTCTCCAGCTCTTCAACTATCTCTACACAAAAAATCACGCCAATCTGTCACTTTGTTTTGACGAAAGAAAGACAAACAAATACACTTTCACATTTATAATATTAGTATGGATTTATCATATTGTAGTCATCCGCAGAAGGATGATTTTAGTATTCAATTGTCACACAATGACAAAAAAATCACATATTTAGCTATTCTATATCTATGCTACAAACTATGTTATTGGCGTTAAAATTTACGAGCTAACAATTTTGAAAGATAATTTAAACGGGCTCGCGACGTAATAAATCATGTTGTCTATGAGAACAAAAATCTTTGAGATACCGGTTTCTAATAACAATGAATATCATGGCCTTAGGGTTTGAGATACTTTACTAATAGAATTTTTAAATCGAGTGTGCTTAAAGATTAAATTTTGACATTTTAGAGATAAACAGTCAACTTCATTTAAGCAGGGTAATAATTTTATTAATTAACTAAGTTAAGAAGTAACTACTAAATAACATTTGATACAAAAGTCAAAGCTCGAATTATTTGTCGATGCATTATATGGTAGAGTCGATTTCAAATAGAATCATGCCAATGCTAAAATATAATAAAACAATAAACTTTGTTGTCCCACTTTTGGGCACAGAGCTTCCTTCAGTGCAATGGTCTTAGTAGTTAGGTTTTCTCACACATGCAGGTTTCGTTACGATGTTTTCCTGCATCGTGAGCAGAGTAATCCTGTTGAAAACGACCTTCTTGCTCATTGATAAATCTTCAATTAGTTTTCCAATCGCGGTGCTACTACATTTTATTTATAGGTTTTTCTTTGGAAGATATAATTTTTATCTCGATGTCAACCCAATCCTATCACCGAAACAAAGTACCGATATTTGGACAACTCACTAGACCAAACTTTCCGTTCAAAGATTAACCCACATTCGTCTATTTAGATATTTCCCACCGATTAAATAGTATAAAAGAATCGATGAAAGCGGCAGCCGCCCCCCGGCCTGCACAATGGGAGTGGCGCAACTTGTAACAATTACTGACAATTTACAATTTGTTATCGTGTCATCTTTATGGCTTATAAAAACGCTCTAAAATTACGCGTCCTCATTTTTAGAGGGAATTCAATTGAATAGAGACGTAATACGTTGAAATAGTTGATTAGGTTCGTCCAGATCGTGCAGAGCTTTGTCTTTTGTTTGATGAACTTCCTAAGATCGAGGTTTCGATCATTGATGGTGCTGTTTTAAATATACTCTGGTTACAAAAGGATGATGATTTTTGCTATTTATTAATATTCATTTAAGTATTCATATTTTAGAAAAATCTATTTAGAAGTTATTTTAATAAGGAAAGAATATTGGTAATGCTGTTTCATGTTTCAATAAACGTAAAACATATTGAACTTAATCATCTATACATATAATAAAATTGTAACTAAGCCGAATCTGTACATTAAATATTTTTTGGAAAATCTTATTCAAATAAACATTATTATCGATACAGAGGCCGAATCTATAGTTTTTAGAATTTTTGTCCGTCTGTCTGTCTGTTTGTTACCGCATCACGGAAAAACCACTGTAGGGATTTTGATAAAATTTGGTATGATGGTAGCTGGCTATCCAGGTCAATATAGGATACTTTTTACCGCGGGAAAATATCTCATTTCCAAGAAAAAATACAAAACTGCATTGTAAGAGTATACTAATATGTAAAACCTAAGAATTTGGTTTTTGGTCATCTGAACGCGGGCAGAGCCGCGGGCAACGCAATATTCAATATGTTTGTCAGTAAATACTTGTATTAATTTGAACTAAAAATAAATTATTCAATTAAATTTTTTTTAATTACTTCAAAATAATAAAAAAATAATTTAACTTAATATTTGAAACCGTCAAAATAAAGTTGACCTTATAATTCGGAGAATAACTTCAATAGAGACATAAAATTATGTAACAAGTTGGCGAGCGAGTGCTTAATAAAGACATTAAATTAATGTAGTAATTACTTGGTTGTTAGACAGTTCTCATCGGAAAGTAGATTTTGTGTCGCGAAATGTAATAATGGCTGATATGATATAATATAGGAAGGAAACGTTAAAAGTTTTGAAAAACTTTGTTATTTAATTTCCTTCTTTTGCCCATTAATTGTTAATAAATTATTATCATTCCATTGACCTATTTAGTAAATGTATATTTATTTATGTATGTAAGTGATTGTAATGACAGTGCGATAATAATATAGTATCATAGAGCTGGTTTGGTGATTGATGGAGTAGAAACAAAATCGTAGGACCTACATTATAAAGAAAAGCCATTCTCATTTACGACTTACTATTTTTATTTCTTTAGCGATATCTATTGCTATTAATAATTATAATTTAAGCAACAAAGACATCATTCAATCTTCGATAAATAAAACAAACACTTTTTTTAATTTAAATTTATGTAATCCTAAGATGTTATGTCATATTCAAAGGACGAAAATGCATCAAATAAGCATCTTCGTATACGAATTATACCCCGCGGGGTATACCTCGCCGGGGATTTAGTTAGGTAGCGAAAATTCTTCTTAAGTGAAAATAAACATGACATTCCTTCTGTGGGCAATATTAAAACGCTCATGATTCGATATAAATCGCTTTAGAAATCCTTGACGTTATTTTGAATGAAATAAAGGAAAAAATATCTACAATACCTGTACAAAGTGACGCGATGCGCGCGCGCAGCGGCGTCAGCCTGCTCCATGAGCATGGTGAGCGCGCGCGCCTGCTCGCCCAGCGTCAGCAGCTCCAGCTCCTCGCGCCCCACCGCGTACTGCAGCTCGGCCTGCTCTATACGCGTATCTATGTTCCTGGGGTACACGTTACAATGAAGTTATATTGATACTATAATGATTAAAGTGTACCACAAAAATGTACAGTTTGTAGAATAGTATTAATAAATAAATGATTATCCGATTTATATAAAATATACAAAAAATTGCAGATTAAAAACGTCCAAAAACATACTCAGTAACATGAGTCTTCTCTAAGCGTCGTTTTAACTCTTGTATATTGGCCCTCCTCGACTCCAGCTCGGCTCGGACAGCTGTGGCACGTTCTTCCAAAGCTTTTCGGTCATCTTGAGACAAGGTTAGGGCATCTTCGCGAGGAGTGGAGCACGGTGAGGACACTTGTGCTGCCAAGCGGGCCGCGCTAAGAGATGCACTAAGCTGCTTTTTGAGGCTGAAATAATAATAAAAGTTAAAGTTGCAAATACTACTAATCGTGTAACAAAAAACACTTTGAAATATCGTAAAATATACATAGTAAGCTTCTAATTACGAGTAGAAGGTAGTACGCACAAAGAGTAGCGGAGATCTAAGAGGTCGTGACCTCTATAAATTTACGTTTTATGTGCAGTTTATACGATTTTCATTGGAACGAGTTTCGCCAACCGTTTAAGTATAATTTTATAAATTATGCCAATTAGGGTATTTTAAAACGATGCGTGGGGAGTTTCGGTTTAAACGGGAAGTGGCAAGTGTATCAAATTCCTTATATACTGAGATTGGAAAATACTTTATCTAAATAATAAATTAATTTATATGAATTATTGATATGGACTTAAACTCGATTAAACATAACATATCATATAACAGTCTACCTTTATTTAGCTCTACATTAGAAAAAAAAATAGTAATCCATCAGACCAGGAAAATACGACTTTTTATGCTGAGAAACCAAATCACCGGCTATTAACGGCGAAAGCTGTTATATTTAAAAAAAACGTGTTTGCATTACTAAGTCGAAACATATTATAATTACTCATAAATATCATAATGAAATAAGTTGCTAATTGCGGCGGATCTTACTTCATTGGTTCGAGAATATTTGACAATCGTGATTTAGATATAGATTATAATACGAGTGTTCACTTACTTTTGTATCATAATATCCTTGTCAGACAAAGCAGCTCGTAATGTGTCGAGCTCTCGGGAGGCGTCGCGCGCGCCACTGCGTCGCCGCGACCCCGCGAGGGACACCTCGATACTCGCCATCTGAACAAACGTTTGCCTAAGTTTATATGTAGTATGTACTGGTGTTCTACTAATTCTAAACTTGATACTTTATAAAAATACTAGCAGAACCCGGCTTCGCTCGCGCTAATACTACAAAAAAATCTCTAAATGGGTAGTTTCATACAAACTTTCACTCCCTGTTTTACCCCCATATAGGATGAATTTGGAAAAATACCGAAACACGTATTTATTTAATTTTATTTTAAATGCTCTTCATTTAATACCAAGTTTCAAGTAATTCTGATCATAAATATTTTTTTTGGATTGTATTATTACGTGTGAATTAGATAATCTCCCGCGGTAAAAAATAGCCTATGTCACTCTCCAGCCCTCCAAGTATCTCTACACTCCGTTTTGACGTGTAAGAAGGACAAACAAACAAACAAACATTCACATTTATAATATTAGTGTGGATTTTTAAAAGCATTAATTTCGTTTCAAGTTTTCAGTCAGAAATTATTATTTTTCATTTTTAAACTTCGCTGCTCTTTTCGTCGATACAGGAATATTGTAATAGTACTTAAAGTAAGATCAGTGGTTTGATCTGCGTATATATGAAACCTTCAGTCCCTGAATCAGGACGTGTTATTAAAAAATATATATGTACCTACATATATGGTACTTTTTTATGCTTAGGTACCTACTTTAAAAGCTTAAGTAGGTCCAGCAAGTTTATCTTTTTTTGCATCAGATATTTTTAATGGTAAAATTGTCGTCAATCGCGTAATTAACGGTGTACAGGAATATAAAGCATTTATAGCCTTTGTTTCTAAATTAAGTATATTCTTCTAAGAAATTTGATAGAATATATAAACATGCTTTGAAATTTTAAAATAATCAGAAATAGATTAAGAGTGGAGGCAAAAAAAGTAGAGTTTCACGCCAATGGTTATAGATCTACGTAATTATTCTTACAATTAACCGTAGAAAGCACACGCTATGTTTAAGGCGTGTCTAGATGAATGATTCTATACATCACATGAATGGTGATGTATTGAAGGAATTTATCATATTAATGTTGTTTCATTACAACATAATAATAACGGTTCAATAATTTGTTTTTTCCCACTAATCTAGGAAGGTTTATGATTTCTCTTAAACACAAAAATGTTTCTTAATACAGGTGTACTAGGTTGTAGCACACCTGAACAAATAAGGCATAATGGCAAAGCTGCTATTGCATAAGCAGCCAGAGTGCTTGTGGAATATACACAAAACACACAGACATATTTTTAGACATTGACAAAATATTTACAATCTGGGAAACATGAATATTGGTTTCTACAAATAGCTAGAACATCGTTCGAACATACAATTTTTAGCATTTTTTATAAAAACTACTCTTATTTACTCTTTTCACAAATGTACAGAATCGAAAATAATTATTATAATGAGTGAGATTATGATTAATGATAAAATATTTGTTATCTAAGTTATTATACAGTAATTTTCCCCTCACTCGCGAGCTCTACGCGTGTCACTGGACCGCTTGATGTGACAAATTGCATGCATTGCATGCATTGCGCAGGAGTGCTGGCAAATTGACGTATAAATCATGGCAATCAACAACCATCTATCTAACGACACCTGTTGGAGACTGATGCACCCTTTTATGTTTATCGTCTAAAGATCTATTTACATCCATACGTTTTGTGTTGTACAGTATTTTTGTTTAGTACGTACCTGTAATGTAGATTGCGTTTATTATTAATGTTGGGTGTGGTGCCGAGGTCGGCCCTAGCTACGTCGACCAGTTTTGGTCCATTGTAGCTTTAGTAATTTCTATAATTTGTATTGTAATTATTTCTGAATAAAATATAATAACAGTGATTATTTACAGGAATTTTATTAAATTTAATAGTAAATATTATAAGATTTTGTCAGTTTGGTGAAATAATGTCGCATGGTTTTCATTATAGTTTCTCTAGCAAATATGTAAATTAGTAAAATTTAATTAAGAAACCATATTTAATAAATCATTTTCTTGTATCATTTAATGAGATGCAATAAAAAAACGATCGTTCCGCACTCTGGCAAGAAATATCTCGCATAAATATCAGCTTCTGAAGATTTAGGTATTTAACTATAAATAATTTATTTCTTAAATGTTATGAAAGATATTTGACAATGGCAAACGTAATTTGACTCGTTTGGCTCAGTTTGTAGTGACCCTACTTGCTGGCCAGCGGTCGCGGGTCGAGTCCCGCTGGGGACAGTACATAGCGATGTTTTATTTTTCAATGGCTTCTAGTACTTATGGCATACCACATGAATAAATATCTCTACAAAGTCAAAGCTTCAAATAACTGCGCATCGCTACGCTTATTTTATATACGAGTATGTATTTATATTTCCGATCTTTTTAAATAATAACAGAGCAACAGTACGAGGGTAGGTACTTTTGCGTATAGTTTATAGACCAGGGAACGTAAAGTAAGCCCCGGGATAGTCCGATGTAAAATGTCTCTTGGAGAAATACCTACGAGGCTTAGTCTATTTATGACATGATACCGCCATAGATTATAAATAAAAAGACGCAAATCGCTCCTCCAGACTGCGGTACTCCTCTATCTATTATTACGTATTTGCTCACCGCGCTGTAATCATAATAAGTAATGCCGCAGGCGATGTTACGTTTGATTTTGCCACGTGCTTGTGTTGTTTAATAAAACTTTGAACTTATTTTGAACTCTTATCTATTTATAACAGAGGAAGAATTCTTTCGGTTTTGCAGATGACATTCGACTTTATTATAATAGAATTATAATAGAGTATATTTCAATTATTTGTTATTTTTCTATAAAATGAAACATTTTTATTAGCTCATATAAAAATCCTACAGAAAAAAACACTCAGTTATTGTTTTGTTCTGAATTTTCCGGTCAACTTTTCAATTATTAGCTTATTCTGTGTAGTTATTCTTTTCCCATATAAACCTTGTTTAGTCTATTACCAATATTTAACAAAAAAAATGCCAGATCGAACTAGCCGTTCTAAAGTGATTTGCTCATCAACGTACAGGATTTTATTTAATATACATGTTAATTTTTAAAATACGCGTACATTTGATCTAAAATTCAGCTATATAACTACTGAGTGTTCTTTATTATAAAATCGATAGTCCTAACTAGCGACCTGCTTTTCATTTAACTTAGCTCATATAAGGGAAGCAAATCATTTTCAAACTACTGCTCTACTCTCTTATTGATTTAAGAAATTAGTCTGGCGATAAAGAAGAAATGCGGATATCATTCTATTCACGTTATAACGGACATGCAGCAAAGAAAACATTATAAACAGGTTTTAATGTTTTTATATTGTCCAAATATGCAAATGAGATTAGAAGCAGTTAATTGAATTTTATTTATGGCATTACCATGCTAAAACGTTTTTTGTTCGAAAACATAATATAGATGATAATTTTTAACACTAAATCATATGAGACGCGAACTGTTGATTGAGCTTAACGACATTTCCATAATTTACACCTATAGAGCTTTTTTACAAGGTTCCATTATAATTGCTTTATGAATAAACTTTTATATTAGTGTTAAATATGAATGAGTAAAAATCTTGACTAATTTATAGTCTTATAATAAAGTCGAAGTTGAATAGATGCAATTATAGCATCTATATTTTTTTACGGTAAAATATAAAAATAAATATTGACAACACCTCGATATGCTCAATGCTCATGCAACTCTAACTATGCTATTCAAATCAAACTTAAAATATTGTATTCAGCCTATGATTTTACCAACAGTCCGGAAAGAAAAATTTCTAAGTCCGAACAAGGGCTGGCGAAAGAAACTCAGCGGGTCGCGGGACTAAAATAATTATGTTTCTTTTTTAGAAAGTCAAATTATAAATTACAATAATTCTACAACATTGAAGTAGCCCTTAGGGGATCACATAACTCCCAAAGTGTGCCTTCTAAATTCATTTATTGTATATTACTTTAGTACACAATTGTTCATTATCATTTTTTTGAATTTAGCAATAGAAGCTTTTAAAGCGTTTTCTGGGATCGTGTTGTAAAAACGTGTACATTATCCATAAAGGGAATTACTGCTTCTGTATAAACGAGTTAGAGGCATTACAAGTTGTGTTTGCTCTTAGTATTAATGTTATACACAATATACACGTCACTTCTTGGGAAATTTACGAATATTTTTAGAAACATACATTTATGTAACATTTTCGTATATAATATTGGTATGGATTTACTTGATTTTTGTTTATGTAACTTAGATACAATATACACAACAAACAGCCACTTCTATTCTAAAATTAACATTGAATTCTATTAACGTAAGAAAGATCACATATCCAACTATTTTAAATCACGCTTTATAACTGAATGTAAATTATTACAACTAAAGTATCCACGTTTTATTATTAATGCAAGAGTACGAGTAAAATTAAGCGATAAGCTCATAAGTGATAGAATCATATCGTAAATAAGATATCTATGTAAATATAAGAATTCTGCGACTCAATCGAGCTTAATTAGGATATTATATGGCAGGCTTGTGGTTGGAGGAAGTCGTTACTGCTTCCTGCGCGTTCCACTCGGCGGCGCGCGACTCTCTAGCCTTGGGGTGTATGATAATTATTGGAATATAGCCATAAACCAGAACATATTGTCTATTACACGTTATATTTATAATCTATGATACACTTAAGCGTCTACTCTGTTTTGTCTTTGCCTCTCTCTCTCGTTCTCGCTGTAAACTGGTGTCATGTACATTCTCGAATCTCGATATTGTAAAAATTGTAATACTGTGATTAAAACACCTAATACAATAATATTGCTTTATTTCATCAGGTTATGGGCCCAGTACGCCTAATAAGTGATAATATAGTAAAAGCAATTCCGATTGTTAAAATAAAAGTAGATTACATTTCTTTGTTAAATTCACGCGGTACGAAGTTCGTAATTTTTCTGATTTTTAGGTTAGCATAGCTGGTATTACGTG